CGGCGGGGGCCCCAGGCGGGCGCACATCCCGGCCCGCGCCGCGCTCAGCCGGAGGGCGCCGGGCCTCTGCCCTGCACCCCGACACACCTCCGCGGGGAGCGGGCGCGGGGCGGGGCAGGGACCCAGGCGCCCCGCCCCCACCACGCTGCTGCCCCGCTTGGGACCCGCCTGCACCCGCGGACACCGGCGTGGCTCGGAGCTGCTCCGACCCCCTGGACCTGGGATTGTCCGGCTCCGAGTCTGAACCCCTGTGCTCTGCTCCCGCATCTGTGTGCGTGTGCCCTGCCCCTCCGGTGGGGAAGGCGAGTGTTTCTGAGCCACACAGTAAGAGTGTGGGCCTGGGTCCGCGGGGCAGGGTGTCCAGCCCAGGATGGTCTGGCTGCTGCACCTGTGCTCAGCAAAGGGCACCAGGAGCTCTGCACCTCCCGGTGGGCCTCCTCGGAGCTGGAGCTCTGGGGGCCTGCGTGGTCGAGCACATCCGGGCTCCTGTCCAGGCCAGGCAGGGGTCTGTCTGCCCATCCTCCTAAGCCAAGCTGCCAGACCCACAGCACACAGGTAATCAGGCTTAACCTGGTGGCAGGTGGGGAGGAGGGACTGACTGAGCCATAGCTGAAGTCCCTGGAGAGGTGACCGGGAAGGAGGGAGCCAAGCAGGGAGGCCTGGGGAGTCCCAGGGAGCAAAGGCTAGGCCCGCCTGGCCTCACGGGTCCAGGCCCAGCTGACTGCTACCGGCGCCCTCTCCACGGGCTGCCATTACTTCTCTGCAGGTGGCTTCTGTGGCCCCGTCTTTACCAGCCAGTGAGTTCTACAGAGGGCAGGCATTGGCTCAGTCTTGATCCCTTCTGAGCACTCATAAATGTTGGAGTAACGGGACCAGAAGTTGGAGTAATGGCTGTTGTCGCTGGACTAACCATGTAGTCGACTGCAGTTCAAGTCCCAGATCCGGTGGCTTAAAACTCACGCCGGGCATGTATGCGTGCGTGCCCAGGACCCCTAGAGGAGAAGAGGAGAAGGGATTGCGGCATGGCCATCCCCCCTGGGGATGATTTCTTGCTTTTTGTCTCTCTGTCTCTGTCTTTCTGGCAAGCACAAGCGCCCTATAGCAAAAACCTCTCCAAAACAAAAACAGTTTGCTGATCAACTAAGCAACTAGGTGTGTGTGCGTCCCTCCCCCACGCCCCCCTCCCTCTCCTAGTCTCTCCCTTCCCCAGGCTGGGCCCCCCTGCCTGGGCCCCCACAGGCAGCAGTGTGGGGTGGCAAGCTGCTGCCTCTGGAAAGGGTTAATACTGTGTGGGTCCTCCCTGGGGACAGGGCTGGGGGAGGGGCTAGAGGAGCTGTCACTCAGGCAGGAGCTCCAGAGCCGGAGGAGTTGGAGCCTCCAACCCACTGTGGGCTCCCTCCTGGGCCTGCAAGGGGGCAGAGGGGAGGGGCTGTGGCCTGAGGGCGGCCCGGCTGGCCCTGATTTGTGTGGGGGTTTTCCACTTGGGATGCCAGATGTGCCAGGACACACAGAGGGTGCGGTTGCCCTGGAGAGGGGTCCCCAGGAGAGCCCCACCCCCATCTGGGGTGAGGGCAAGAACTTCAGGGGCTTCAGAGGCTGAGACCGGCCCAGCTCTGCCCGCTCCCCTGTCCAGGCCTGTGCTGGACTTCGTCCTGCTCTGCGCCGGCCCCCAAGCACTCAAGGAGTGTTCTTTATGAGGAAGCACAAAACGCGTGACAGGCCCCAGGCACAAGAGGACATGCACTGGGGTTGCTGCCACCCTCGGGACCCTGAGCACCTTCCTTGGGGACAAGGCTGCAGGGACGGCTTCCCTGGCTGCAAAGTGGACAACGGTCCAGGCCTCGGAATGCTGCGACAGAGAGGGCCGCAGGGCTGCCAGGGCAGGCAGGAGGGACACGCGGAGCCATCCCCGCAGCTGCAGGTGGGAAGGGCCAAGTGTAGCCAACAGGGGCACACACCAGCAGGGAAGTCTGTGGGTGGAGTGGCAGGCATGGCCAGTCGTGCCCTAGTGACGCCGCCACAGACTGGAAGGTGGCCCGGGACACCGTCGGGCCGAGGGGCCTGGAAGCAGCCACGCTCTGCAGAGGTTGCTGAAGGCATGGACGGGCGTCCCACTGCGTGGGGGTGCGTGTCACGTGTGCACAGACCTGGCACGAGCAGGAGTGGTCGCAGGCCTGCAGCCAGCCCCAACTTCCCGTGCAGAAAGTCCGTTTGACTCTCCCACACCCCAATGGGCACCAGAGCTGCGTGGCCCATTCTGAAGAGCAAGGCCAGCCTGACCAGCAGACAGGACAGCCAGAGAGGCCCACTTCCCCTCCCTTCCATAGCCACCACCCCAAGGGGGACAGACGGACAGTCTCATCTGGAACCCAGGTCCTAGGACAGGGCTTCTTTGGCCAAGTGCTTTAAATCCTCCCCCCCACCCCTGCCCCGACCAGCCCCTCGTAAGCCCAGGACCTCAAACATGGCCCCACGCCCTCTCAGAGAACAAAGCTCAGGGCTGTCCTCCCCCACCTCCAGACACACTGGCAACTCCAGCAAAGAGCCTCACTCCTGGACTAAGAGGCCAAACGGCCACTGCCCTCCGAGGTGGCGGGCCCCAGGGCTGAAGGGCTGGGGCTGAGGTGGGAGCCATGCTCAGGCCACACCGCCCCGCCTAGCTCGAGCTGCCCGTCCAGCACCTCTGCAGCCACAGAACCCTCCGAAGCTGACAGCAGTGAACGTCCCGTCGCAAGTGAGCGGGAACCATGGATAAGCGCCTGGCTTTACCAGGAGCCCTGCACTGGGGGCTGGTGAGGAGCGGGGTGCAGAGGGCCTGCCCACAGGGAGCCTCCGTCCCTCCCTAGCTGTCCCCATCTGCCCGGAGCCCCACTGGCCATCCTGCCTGAGCTTCTTACCCCAGAGCACGCCTGCCCAGGGTGCTCATGGGTCGCCCTGGACACAGACACTCATCAGACGTGCATACACATGAGGCGTCCATCCTGAGACTGTGGCCTCGCAGGAGCGGGTACCAGGCGAGTGGCCCTCACCCACAGCAGGTATCACAGCGGCCTGCCTCTGGGAAACAGAGCCTAAGTGTGCTGGGGCTCACAGAGGCTCGTGAGACTCTGGAGAGAGGCCTTGCAGCCCCAGCCTGTGTTTGGTGGAAGAAGGAGGCCCCCGGGCCGGGCTTGGGCAGGAGAGAGCATCTGGGACTCTCATCGTGGAGAGGAGAGGAGCAGCAGCAGCCGGAGGACCCAGGGATGGCTCTGGAAAGGCTCATGAGCAAGAGTTCGGCACGGTATGACACAGGGATGGTTCGGGTGTGGGACACAGAAGGGCTGCACCGAGTCAGTGCACAGGTCTCCAACGGCTGCCCTGGAGAAGGGGCGGGTTTCCACCCATGCCCCAACATGATCCTTTCCCAACTCTCCGGCTCTGCCCCGGCTGCCTCTGGAAGAGGCACTGAGGCCCCGACTTCTCTCCCTGCCTGGGTCACTGTGTGAATTTCAGCAAATGCCTGCTTACTTCCCCTCCAGCAGCCCCTGCACATGGCACTTCGAGAGTGTCGGACCACGCCCATACTGACTTCTGGGGTCCCTGGGTCCTGCAGTGGAGCTGGCTTCCAAGACCCCGCGGTGAAGTCCGAGCGTCGTCGTTCGCCGTTGAGCCATTGCGCCGGGATCACGCTGCCCTGCGCTCTGGCTGGCCGGGCACCCGGGCAGCGCGGAGCGAGCGCGCCCCCTGCCGGCTGGTAGTGAGCACAATCCTGCTCCTGGTCCCTGGGAGGCAGGCGGCCTTAAGAGCACCGTGGGCCTGCAGCCGCACTCCCACCAGGGTCACAGGGTCACAGCGATGCGCACTTGTCACTTAGCGGAAAGGAAGTCCGGAGGAGCAAACCCCAAAGCATTATCAGCTCGCATTTGCTCCCCGACGTCACTGACTGCCCCTCTGACCTGAGCCCTGCTGGTGATCAGCATTCCAGACATTTCCTCTCCACTCACCAGGCCCTCCTGGGGTGGCCAACCCAGCCGTGCCCAGGCCTGAGGACTGCTGTTGGTCATTGTTCCCAGTGCACCCAGGGCCTCTCAGCAAGGCATGCCCTGGGAGCTCTGCTCGGCAAGGGAGGGGGCACAGGTGGCAAGCTGGGGTACACACTTGTTTCTCAAGGAGGAACCGGGGTGGCGGGTCGAGGTTGTGGTGTGATATAGAAGGGGAATGGGGCAGGAAACACCCGCAGCCGGCCCACAGCCACGGTCTCTGTCTCTGGGCTCTCACAGGAGGGGCCTCAGGTCCTGGGGCTCACCCTGATTGCCACACCCCTCCCAGGATGCTGCCCCCACCCCTGCAGGGCCTCCCTGCTGTTGCCCACTCCCACCCCCCTCAGCGGATTTCCCCTCTGCCTCATCACCACCCAGACGGCACTGTAGGCCTGAGCTGGGCCCTGCTGTGGGGCACGGACACCTCCTGCCTCGTGGTGGTCGAGCCGTGGACAGGCTCCCACCACCCACCCATACTCCACGGCACTCAGGTCTCCTGTCTGGTGGCTGATGCTCACCTAGGATTTCTGATCTACAGGAGAGCGACCACAGCCCTCTGAGGGGCCCTTATTGCTGTGGAAAAAGGCGCATCCTCTTGGCCTGCCGCTCCACAGGTAAGCAGGCCTTAAATAATGAACCCAGGGCTGCCTAGTGGATTAAGAGAACCAGTCCCGGGCTGGCAGGTGACATGGTGGTTAAGGGCACTGGATTCCCACAAGGGCAACCATGGTTCGAGTCTTGGACCTGGTGGCTTACTTTCTGTCTTCCTCTCTCTCTCTGGTCAAACTAAAAGATAATAACAATGGAATTAAATTAATAATTTTTTTAAAATTAAAGAGAGAGGGAGAACCAGTCCCACATGGCTAAGCACACTGTTCAAATCGTGGCCCTGGTGGCTTTGAAAAACACACTAGGGGGGGCCAGCAGGTGGCAAGGTAAAGGTACTAGAATTCCCACATGGCCAACCACAGCTCGAGTTCCAGACCTGGTGGTTTGTTTTCTTACTTTCCCTCTCTCTCTCTCTGGTCAAATTAAAATAAATGAATGAATAAATAAAATAAAATAAATATTAAAACACACACACACACACACACACACACTAGGAGCATGGGTGTGCATGCTTCAATCCTAGCCAGATGGAGAGCCGGAGGGAGGGGACTGTGGAATGGCCGTGCCCAATTAGGGGTGTTTTCTCCCCTGCCTGTCTGGCTCTCTCCAGCCAGTACACACACCTCTGGCACCTCCTCTCCCCGAGCTCTGAGCCTGTGCTCTACAGGGGCAGGCCTGGCCCTGTGACTTCCTTTCTGTGGGTCACCTCTGGGTCCATTTTTCAGCCAACCAGCTGACCAAATTCAGCCCTTTCTAACACCCTGCACTGCAACGTTAAATCCGGAATCTCTGCTTCTGGATCCATACCAACAAATACATTTATTTTTTTCTAGTTGCTGTAGGGTGTGTTGTACTTGCCAGAGACACAGAGGGAGAAGAAAGCACCTCCAGTGAGGCATTGTCGCTTTGCGATTCTTCCTCCTGTTTCTCCACCCCATCAGGATTAAGGGTACACATGCACCTGTACCTGGCATGCTTTTCAAGCCACTGAGGCTAAGACTCAAACCATGGATAGCCACATGGGATCCGACTTCTCTGAACCACTAGGCTACAGGGTAGGCCCAGTAGCAATAAATTTAGCTGGGGACCAGCAGATGGGATAATGGTTATGTCACTGGACTTCCACGTAGTCGACCGTGGTTCGAGTCCCAGACCTTGGGACTTAAAACTCATGCTGGGCATGAGTGCATGCATGCCCAAAATCCCAAGAGGAGAATGGAGAAGGAACTGTGGTGTGGCCATCTCCCCTCGGGGGTGATTTCTCACTTTCTGTCTCTCTGCAGAGCACACGTGTACTATAGCAAAAATCTCTCAAAAAAAAAAAAATCAGCCTGGTACAATTTTCTGTCTCCCCTCCCCATACACACACCCTTAACATCCATTCTCATGCACAGCCCTAGATTTGTGTCAGTATAAATGAGAAAAACGGGCTCTTTTGGAGTATAACACATCTCATGGGTCACACTTAGCACCCTGGCCTTCGGGGCCGGGCTGGGACTTGCTGAGGTCTCAGGGCCTCTGCCTGGGAAGCCCCCTCGGTGCTCCCACCTGTTACTGCTGAGCTGAGCAGAGCCCCACAGTCCTCCCAAGGGGCAGTGTCGGCTCAGTGGTTAAGGACACCGGCTTCCCACGTGGGCATCGCCCCTCTACACATCCCAGTGCCACCGCTCCACTTCCCTCCCGCTGTCCTGGTCGTTAACCTGCTACGGTCTGCCTCCTCGGGTACGCCCTGAGACTGAGGACAGGGCCTCACCCGGGCCGCTCATGGCTGCAATGCCAGCAGAGCCCAGCACAAGGCAGAGCAGATGCCTGATGTTCACAGAGACAGGACAGAATCGCGCACAGAGCGGGCACTCACACCCTGGCTGCCCCACGGCTGTTGTAAAGACAGCGGGCTTAGGGCCAGCAGCTGGCGTACTGGCTACGTCGCTGGACTCCCAGTAGTTGACCGCGGTTAGAGTCCCGGACACGGTGGCTTGAACTCACACTGGGTGCGTGTGCGTGCGTGCCCAAGATCCCAAGAGGAGAACGGAGGAGAAGGGATCGCGGCGTGGCCATCCCCCCCGGGGGTGATTTCTCGCTCTCTGTCTCTGTCTCTCCG